CCTCTTTCTTCACCATGGTTCCGCTTCTTTTGCCGTACCGGCTTCTTTTTTGGATCCACAGCGAGTTTGTGTACTGCCAGATCAGGACTAATGCCTGGCATTTCATGGACTTCAAATGCAAAGATGTCCTTGTATTCTTTCAACAGGTTGTGAAAGTCATCACCAAGGTTTCTCAGAGCAGTCGTCCCAACTTTGACTGTTCGGTCAGGGCGGGAGTCGTCTAATATCAGGTCCGTATGCTCACCAGCCGGCTGAGGGCGGAACTCATCCGGCCGGTCCTCTGCCAATGATTGCTATTTTCTTGCCTTTCTGGCGGACTCTGTCTGGGACGCCTTTCTTTTTCTGTCGCCTGTTTCTTGAACAGGCGCACTTTCCTTGACATTGTCAAGGTCTGTTTTTTCTCCACTTGACCCAGTGGCCTTAGCAGTGGGTTTGACATCCGAGAGATAGCACTCTCGGGCCATCCTCTGATCTCCCCTTAGGGAGCCGAATGTTCCATTGTCCCTTTCAAACTTAAGCAGCATAAGTGACGGGATTATAACAGCCTTGGCACTATTCAGGGTTGGGCGACCCAGAATCATGTTGTAGGCAGAGAGTTCCTCTACAACTAGGAATCGGACTACCATGTGTCGTCCTTCCCCTTTTTCGCCCAGGCGGACGGGTAGATCAACTCGTCCCAGTGGGTGGACGACTCCTCCTCCAAACCCTATTAAAGGGTGGGAGGCCGGATGTATGCAGTCCGTCTGATATTTCAGTTTTGACAGACATTTGCTGCTGATGAGATCTGAAGAGCTCCCAGTATCTATGAGGATTCGACCAACTCTCTGGTTGGCCACTTTACATTCAATAACGAGAGGGTCGTCATGCGGCCCCCTTATTCCTCCTAGATCCTCTTCAGTGATGACAATCTCAGGAAATGTATATTTGGACGGTCGTTCTTGGTGAACGGAATTTACATCTAACCGCCTTATATTATCTTTGTTGCCCCTAATAGTGGGGCCGCCTCCTGAGAAGCCGCCTGCAATGGTGTAGACGACTGCATCATCTGTATCGGAACTGTCGGCCTGTTGATTCTTTTTGGCCGACTGCTTTTTTGAGGAAGTATTCCCCGTAGTTTTCTTGACATAAGTGTCAAGATCACCTTGATCAGCCAAGCGGTCTAGGTACCGCATGAGACTAATGCAGTCGTTGGTGTGATGACCAATGTCATCATGATAAGCACAGATTTTGTCTTGGTTCCGGTTGCTCGCAGAACCCTTCATGGGGAGCGGTTTCTCAATTGAGAGCCGTCCCTTTATTTCTTTTAGGATAAACTGGTTATCCTTGTTAAACACATACTTTGGGGAGTATGGTTTGAATTCCTTTTTCTTCTTGGCCGGCTGTTTAGAGGAATCAGCCGCCCAGACCCCTTTTCTTTTTTCATCTTTGTTGGACGACTGTTTCTGTCGTCCTTCTCTATTGTCGAACCTCTTCCCGTCCGGCTGTTTCATTGTACACAGATCAGTCGCCTGTATATAGGCTTCTGCTTCAATCAAGGCCTCTTGAAGAGTCGCCACCCTTTTTCGAACTAAATCAAATTTGAAGGTAGACCCGTCTTTGAGACCTCTAAAAAAGTCAGTATAAGCTACCTCATCCGGTAACCCTTGAATCTGTATTCTCATCAGGTTGAACCGCCTGATGTAGGAACGAAGCCCCTCCTTTTCACCCTGCTGAATTGTTCCCAAATCAAGGGTCGTTTTCTTCGCAGGGATGTTCATTGCAAAGTTGGAGGCAAATAAGTAAGCAAGCGTCCTGAAACTGTTTACACAACCAGTCGGCAGGTTGCCGAACCATTGCTGTGCAATTCCCTTGAGAGTTGCTGGGAAACACTTGCACCAAGTGGGATCATCCAACCCTTGAAGGTACATCAGGTTGGTGAATGCCATCAGATGGTCTTCCGGGTTAGTAGTGCCATCATAGGCGCCTACTAAAACATTTTTTACTTTGGCCGGCTGAGCGGCTTCAGTAATTTCCTTGGAGAAGGCCGACGGCTGTTCACCAAGTCTAAGCAGCCGTAGCTGCCAGTCCATAGGTTGGACGTTTTTTGCTGCAGGTCCACCAAATGGAGGTGGCTGCATAAAATATTGTTGTTGCGGCACAAATGGCAAATTTGGTACCGCCTGCGCACTATGAAAGCCAGACTGTCGGGAGGTGCCGCCTGACTGACTCTCATGGTACGACTGAGTTGGCCTCATCGAGGCATTTCGCAAACTGTCCTGAAAATTTGAAGTAGAAGCCGACTCTGATAATCGGTCACTCTTCTTCTGCTCTAGCAGGTGCCGAGCATCTGTGAACGTTTGCTTTGACCCATCCGCCTGAATATGACGAACCGGTTTCCTATTTCCCGTAGGATAACGGAGTTTTGTGAAATCAAGAGCAGACGGCTCCCGCTTCTTAGATTTAGGATGGGGAGTCGCCTCTCGCCCTTGAACTGGCTTCCTCTTCAGTGAAGTGTAAGGTTTTTTGGCCGCCTGCTCTTTGACTGAAGCAGGCGGTTTTTTGTTGATCAACTCTTGGATCTCTCCCTTGAATCCCCTCATGAAGGTCATGAGTTCGTTCCTTGTGATGGGAGCAGACCCATCAGTCGGCTGTTGCCGAGCAAGCGGTGCGCCTGCTGGCTCGCTTCCTGTTTGAAGATACTCCCGTTCCCTTATTTCAGTATGACGGGTACGGCGGGCCCTTAGGGTCCCGTCTGGAGCTGTATGAGTTTCAACTTCAAATTCACTTTCGGTATCATGGTCCGACTGAACTTGAGGGTCGTCTAGGGGACGCCTCTCTTCTGGGGTCGGTACAGACTTGGATGCCATCTCTGAAGTACTCTCCCCACAGACGGCGCCAAATGTTTCGGGGTTTTCTGATGTCCTGCGGGAGAGTTACAATTCCGAGACTGGAACCGGACGCCTGTACCTGCAAAATAACGGAGACTCCTGAGAGCTCCGCCTCCAACGGTCAAGTTAGTACCTGATTAAGGAGTAATTAATACAGAAATTAAGGTAACAAGATCTCTCTAGGTGAGAGTATTTAATGTAGGTAATCTGCTTTGCTAGCGAGATCAGCCGGTTATTAGTGTGTTCCGTAATGTATTCGGTCCCTTGATTAATGAGGATTAATCGAGTATTTATAGCCTTGGGAAGCGTGCAACTCTCTAGGTTTAAGGTAAACCTAGGGCCGATCGGGCTTCTAGACTGAAATGGGCCTTGATGGCCGGTTGTCCCATTTGGCATGGGTGGACACGTGGCGTGTCTTAAGTGGTCCATGGAGGACGCGTGGCGGAACCTGGTTGGTCCACTTGTCAAACGGTGCTTGGTGGATAAAAATCCCCTAATCACCTAGGGTTCCTCGTTCCCCCTGCCAGCGACGCTATTATTCCAGCCCACCGTCACCAAGAACCCCAAACCCCACCGACGACCCTCCCTTGTTCTTCTCTCTCTCAATCTCAAATCTCTACAACTTTCCCTCTTCATCAATGGTGGTTAACGCGAGGTCGTTGAAGCGAATGAAGTGCCGAGTCACCGCCGAGTTTATGGACTTTCTAGGTTTTCCGGCGCCGGGATCTGGCCACGAAATCGTCGGAGCTCCATTTAGGTCTAACATCAAGGTGTTTCTAGCACGTCGCGCGCTTCTTCCTCCGCTGTCTTCTTTCCTCCCTCACCTCATGACAGGGCAGGTTCTCTTCCACGCCGGTGACTCGCTGGAGTCGCCGGAAAACTTGTCTCCTCCAGTCATTCGCGTCGATGTTATTGAGGAAAGGGCGGAGAGGAAAGAAATAGATGGAGGATCGGTGGTCGGGTTTGGGGTTCTGGGTAATTTGCTGGTCTGGGATGGTCGTCTGTGTGTTCGGCAATGTAGAGTCCAGGTGGTCGGGTAATTGGGGTCGTCGGCAGTGAAGCGGCTTGGATATGGCAGTGGCTGGCTGGTGGAGATGGTGGTGTGGATTGATGGTTGTGGTTGTTAATTTTTCTAAATGTTTTTCTTTTTTTCTTGAAAATAAATAAATTAACCATAGTTAATTTTAATTGACTATTTAATGAAATAAGGTTATTAGTGGGATAAATTTTTAAAATAATGTCATTTTGTATGATCCAAGAAAAGGGGGTTACCGTTAGTGCGTAGCAGAAGTTAGGGGTCGCCGTTGAGAATTTCCCATGAAAATGTCATAATAGTTGCAACACATTATAAAAAGAAGGTTTTTATAGTAAAAATTGTACTCTCTATATTTCATAATAACCTCTTAACCCTATTTTAAATGTTTTATATCATGTGAGATCCACTTTTCTTAAATACCGTGATAAAGTGTGTGATGCAACTATAAAAAAAATGGAGGAATTGGAAGTATACATACTCCTTATTTTTCAAAAATTGTCTCATACCTTATTTGAAAAAAAAATAATAAATTACTTTCAACCCCTTTACTCCCTTTATCTCTTTCATCATCATTAATGCGTCACTATAAATTTTATTTTACTTTTTAAATTACTGAACTTTAGATTTGAAGTAATCTTTTAAGAACAAAAGAGATAATTAACGGAGTAATGTGATTTGAATATAGTATCACGCCATCAACTAATGGTGTGACACAAATAATTTTAAATATAGAGAATTTGACTCTGTTCACTCCACCTTAAAAAAAAAAAACAATATTCAATAAAAACAATTTCACTTCAGTATAAATAATTTCAGATCAACAAAAATAATTTCAGTTTAGTAAAAATAATTGCAGTTCAATAAAAATAAGTTTCATTCAGTCAAAATAATTTTAGTTCAATTTTCAATTTAATAAAAATAATTTAAATTCAACAAAAATAATTACAGATTTAACAAAAAAATAAGGTAAAGTAAACTGGCCTAGAGTTCAATCTTCACCTTAAAAATCAAATATCCGTACTACGTATAAAATGATACGCTTTGACGAACGGTGAAATGAAAAAGCCGCGACTTTTTAGATATTTTTTCGTAATATTTATTCCCTTGTCCTGTCTCTGTTGTTTTCCAAACATCCTACTTGGTCCTACAAATACTCCGTATTTTTCAATCATTTTCTGAAATCTCCGATCTCTCTGGACTTCAACTTTGAAGCTGCCTTCTTCAGGTAAATTCATTTGTTTCCTTTTCTTAAATTGAAATTTCTTACCTAATCTCGTTTTATTGATTAAAATTAATTGTTTCTTGTTGAATATGATCTTGCATTGTTGTCTTAATTTGCATTCGCATACGAATTCGCATGCTTTTAGCATTTTGTTGAGAATTAATTGTAAGGATTAATTTGTTGCGAATTTTGTCGAAGGAAATTTTCGGTGGAAATTGTGTTAAATTTGGAAAAAGTAGTTTAAACCATGATTTCTAAGGGTTGATGATTGATTTTCATTTCGAAATTGCAATTTGAGGTTGAAGTTTTGTGAATTTTTTTTAGAGGTATGTAATGGAAGCTTTAAATTTGACAGAATTGTGCTGCTAATATCTGGAAAATTAGCCTAATTCGATTTCTGGATACTTTAATATATATGCGTGAATTTGGATATGGGAGCATATTTTACTGGATATATGGCGGAATTAGGGCTGTAAGTTTATGATTTGCGTAATAGGATTTCGTTAAGTGGAACTTATGTTACTCAAACTCGGATACTTGTGTTGAAAATGAATTGTGTTGAAGAGTCCATTCCATTGCTGGAGTGTCAAGGATCCACACGTGTTCTTGAGGTGAGATGAAGAGTCCGAGTAACATGAGGTGGAAACTTTTTGTTTAATGTGCAACAAGCAGTGCAAGAATTTATGCCACAAGATTTTTTTATTTAGGTGTTTATTTTCTTACTTCATTATATATCTTATTTTGCAAAACATATTTTGATCAATATGACATCTAAAATCGTCCCTTCTATTCCAATACCTTTCGTAATTCCATGTTGAATGGACTGTGAAGAATTTTCCTCTAGAAAATGATAGGGTATAGGAATTAGAAAGTGATGTAGGAACTGAGATCTGATGGCAGTATTTTGCAGGTGAGCTTAAAACAGAAGAGTAATTACCTTTAGACGGAGGGTTAGAGATATAATACTGAGTGCATTTTACTAAGTCATTTGTACAGAGTAAAATCTTTAGCTATTAAGATATTGTTGGTGCTTGGGAGGTGGGGGAGTGGAGGGTTTGGAAAATACTTTCTGATATCTTTATTACGAAGTAATAGAAATGTATTTATGCTTTCTAAGATGATCCAACCATCCGAGTACAAATTTAAAAGAAGGAATTTTTAGGAATTTTAGATTGAATACTCCTTTTTAGTGTGCATATGATTCTTGAATCTTGAATATGCTGTTAAGATGGAGAAATGTTGATGCAGCTTCATGTTGTATACACTTATGTAAGATAACAACGAAATCTGCCTCAAGAGAAATTGGGAGCTGCAGTAGCAGGTGTCCTGCTCACTTTGTTCTTCCATCCTATTTGGCTATTTGTAAGAAGAAAAATGACAAGATTTTGTATCCTATTGTCATGGATCACTGCTTGAGGCAGGAACACATGGTCCTCTTCGTTTACTTTTCTTCTTACTAGAAGAAAATAATTTGGAAAACGGTGAATTCTGAGTTGAAAGGTTTCTCAAGCTTAGGAGATGGAGGATCGGCATAGTGGCTCTGATCTGAGAAGTAATTCTGAATTTGCCAGTGTTACCTCTCAGGATATTGCAGCCAAAGTTGCTTCCATGCCAAAGACTTTGACACGGAAGTCTTTTGATCATATTCCTTCCAAAGATCGTGCAGTAAGAGGAGTTGCTGCTGATGTAGGCTTTTTCCTACTAAAAGTTGCTGTTCTGGAAACTACAAGGAGGTTTTCAAACGCTAAGTGTCCATTTGCTTGGCGTAGTCTTCAGGCATTCCAAATGCTATGCTATCCACCATTTAAATGGATCAAATGGGCTCCCTTCAAAAGCTTGGTGCATAGTATGCAGGTACTACTTGTACGGCTCTGCCATTCTTTTAAGCTGTGTTCCTTGTTGAAGGTTAATGGTACATAGTTTAGTCTTGTTTCATCATTATGCAGTTTGGATCATTTTTTTTTAAAACCCTCTTTATTGTCAGATGTTGTCACGACCACTGTTAGCCCTCTCCATAGCAACAGCTTTCTCTGACAAATCAGATCAGGTGAACTCGACGGATGATCACCATGATTCTCATGTACTTGAGAATTTGGGTGAAGACTTACCTTCTGTACAGCCCCATGTTGATGTAAGGTAAACCAATAGCATTCATTTTACAATATCGGTTTGACCAATTGGTTGTATAAGTTCCGATGAATTTGTTTCAATTTGATGTTAGCGTGTTACTGAAATTAGCTCTTTAGCAGTTTTTGGTGCAGGATCCTTTTTATGTGATTGTAAATGTGTCCTTTTGTTACTGTTGCTAATCTGCTATGCTACCCACCATTTATAAGCTGGTGTGCTGTTTCAGGAACAATGATGATTCTTCTATTAGTCCATCATCAGAGGATTGGTTGCCTAAACTCTACGAAGAACTGGAAAAGCAAGGGATCAGCTTGCCAGAAAGGTAATCATAAGCATGTACAAAGGAAACTATAAATAGTATGCAAATTAGAAATAGTGCAAATGTCCTAAGTAGTATTTGTTCTATCCTTTTTTTTTTTTTTCTTATTAAGAACATATCCTAAATACTCCATAGTTTCTTGCTGTTAATACTGTTTTTTTTTTTTTAATCCTATCTATATATCCTCCCAATCATCAGAGTATTAAAAAATTGAGCTTTTATTAAAGTTTTGTTTGAACAAATGATGGAAATTTCAAGAACCTGATTAGGATAGATGAAACCAAAATTACAAACCAGTGTATGTAACTTTTAATGGTATACTACCTATCTTGCTGCTCAATGAAAAGGAAAGTTTATTTATTTTTTAAATTTCGAGAGGGTGGGATAAAAATAAGAAGAAACAAAGGCTGAAAATTTATTGGATGCAACATTGTAGGATCAATGAGAGTGAGCTACGAAGATTTTACAGCTCTGTCAATGGTGACTTTTCAAGCTTGCTTTCGTCAATTAAGAAGACAATTCGTTGGAGAGAAACATATCACATTCTATCGGAACCGGAACTTAAGGTGTGGTCTGATATAGTCTTCTGGCATGGCTATGATGTGAGACACAAACCTTGCTTGATTGTACGACTTGGTGTAGCTTGCACCAATCTGCCAACTCGGGATAGACCTCGAATTGCTCAGGCAATTGGTAAGTCTTTATACCTTGTGAAGGCTTTATTAAATTTTCTGTCATTGCGGATGTAGCACTCAATTTTTGTGGAGAACTGTCTCCCTTCTATTTTTTTGTTTGGGGGGTGGGGGGTGAAGGGGGATAAATTAATACTGAACTGTACCTTTCGTTGACAAGGGTTCCTCAAAGACCAGTTACAGCAAGTCAGCTACAAAGCTAATTTTTTTTAACTTACCTACTTGCTTTGGGAGTTCTTAAATTCAGGCCTCTCAATAGGTTTGAAGAAGAATTAAGCCAAAAATCAGGATACATATATTTTCTCTCATGCTTTTCAGATTTCGAATTTGAATTTTATAAGAGGCACTAGACCATAACAGCACTAAATTTTTCCAAATGTATTCCACACACATGATGAGGCTACCTTTAGTTAGCTTACTAAGCTATGGAGATCTCTTTAGTGTCTTTAGTGAGGAGTTAGGCGCATGCTGAGTGGATATTGGTCGCTCATGCAGTTTCTCAGATGGAGCATGGTATCCTGCATTTGGCTGATCGTGAAAATCCTGGAATTATGGTAGTGGTAGATTGCAAAGATTTATCTCCTTTTAGACTTCCAGTGCAGATGATAAGATCCTGCTCTCTGCTTTTTCAAGATCACTTTCCACACTATCTTGGTGGTTTATATGTCATACGGCTTCCTCCTGTAATTCGGGTGATGGCACAAACTGTTATGAAAGTGAGCTCCTTGCTTTAATACTGTTGGCTATTGTGTCATCTCATTTTTCTTCCTTATGCAGTTTCACTAAGCAGTTGAATATGGATATCTTTCAGGTTCTAAACCCAGTCACTCAACAGAAGTTGAAATTTTTTGGGGAACAATACCACGAGATTCTTTCTGAGTTATTTCAGGAAATTCCAGCGTGTCTTGGTGGTAAATGCAAATGTTCAGTGTGCTCAAGTGCAATTTCCCACAACAATCAGCGTTTTCCTTCTATAGAAGTGGCAAGTCAATTGCTTGCAGATGGACTTAGTGGCGAAAATGTTGATCTTGATTTTCTCAGATCTGAAATTGATGTTCGTCATAGTTTTGATCAGGTGCTAAGAACTGGTATGATTGGAATCCTTATGTTATGTGTGCTTGTTGCTTTGCTTGCGGGATTATTTGACTCTGATAGCCGTCCAAACATACTCCTGTGAGATAAGAGTGAGCTTTTTGTTTTGGATCTACCAAGCCAATTCTATTTCTAGAAGATATCTAATATGCCTGAGTGCTTTCAAATTTCAACCATGAGGCACTGGAGCTTTAGCTTATTGAACATTTTGTCAGAAAAGCTGGTTGTATATTATATACTTGTGAGATAGTGGGAGAGACAAATACCAAGGACCCTGGTTAATTAGCGTGGCTGTCATTGTAAATGAAATCCCCTTCCTCTAGTCCAAGCCTAAGCGGGATCCTCTAGTGCATTGGGAACATTATTTGAGTGAAATGCTCGTATATGTTAAAAGGGGGTTTGTAGGAAGTCCAAAGTTAGCCTATCTGACTCAGATGATGTTTTGGTTTTCTGAAGTCTGAACCATTATGATCAGAGGGGTGCATATCATGTGAAGGTGTTATTTTCATACTTAATAATTTCTGCCTGGAAGAATTAAAGACTATGAACGTGCCAGTTTCATATACTTCGTATGAATTACTTTGATACTTGGAGTATATATATATATAGTAGTATATACAGAATCCCTATCTTTTAAAAAGTATGAGAAAACACTTATAAAAAGTGTGAGGACAATTATATCCATAAAATGTTGTTTACCTATATGCCCCTATTAATATGATGTTCATTGCTTCTAAGCTAATCCTTGTGTGATTTAATGATTTAACTCTTGTGAATAGCATTTTGATAATTATACCATCTAAAATATTTATTTACTTATTTGCCCTCATTAACGTTAATTGTATTACTGTATTTTTTAAACTTTTAAGAATATTGTGCGGACATTTATAACCCTAAAACTATTTGTTAACATATTTTCCGTCGTTATGTTGCCAACAACTGAAATCCCCGAAAGTGGCTAGTTATAATGCGCGCATAGCGCGCGTTAGCCACCCTAATATTTAAGAAAGTAGGAGCTATCTTCGGAATGAGATTAGAGGTTTGAGCGCACTTTCCCCTCTCTCTTTTGTAACTTCCTCAGTGGAAGGGGAATTATATCACTCAAGTTTATAAGAAGTTTGCATATTGTTGACTCTCACTGCCTCCGCCAGTGGGTTTCCCGCTGCCGTCCCAAGCCTAGATAAAGGAGGGGGGTTATGTTAGGCTAGTGACAGCTAGTGTAAAACTTTGTCACATCGCTTGACATGAGCCACAATGATTGAGAGTAGTACTAGGATGGGTGACCTTCTAGGAAGTCCTCATGTTGATTCATGTAGCCGACCCCACTTATGGGAGTAAGGTGTTCAAGCAGAAGAAGAAGACTTATTCTTGTTAACTCAAACTAATAATATCTATAACATAATTATGTATTAATAACTTTTTAAAATCACAAATTTGAAAGATACACATGGAGAAGGATCTTATAAGATTCCATCTAATAATATATTTTCCTATACATTAATCTAAAATACGGTTTGAGTTAGTCAAATCAGTATTTAAAAAGAGGTGAAGAGGACAAGTATTTAAAAAGAGGTGAGAATCAAACCACTCTTACAATATTACAAACTTGATTTATTTGATTTTGGGGACCCCTTTGTCGGGGTGGGAATCAAACCACTCTCACAAGTATAGGCAAAAAACCTTCAACCACTATTTCAACTTTGATTCTCAAAATTATTAGATTTTATTTTGGAGTATGAGGAGCTTAGCTTATAGTATCTACAATCGTGGTCTTGTGCACATCCTTGGCGTCATGTCTAAAATGTACGGAGTATTGAAAACTTGTTACGCCTATTAGATGGCGTGCCAAATGCTACCTAGCTTGTTTGAAAATTTTCAACTTACACCAGGGATCAGGTCAAATCGTGTCCTTGTAATAATGTAATTAACAGTAGTACTAAGTAATCACCGCGGCAATATTCTATCTTGTGTGATGCAATATTCTTGGGGAGCTCCCTCACGAGTGTTCACTGGATGCATGTCAAAAGAGAAGGCAATGTAGTTGCTCATAATTTAGCTAAGTTTCTTCCGTATGATGTTGAGCAAATTTGGGAAAATTGTGTTCCTCGGAAATTGCTCCATATGTATTTATGGACACCCTTTCTATGAAAGATTAAGTGTTGCTTCCCCTCAAAAATCAAAAAAAAAAAAAAAAAAAAAAAAGTAAGCACTGCGGCGAATTGCACGAGTTCAATGTGTCAAGGAATACGATTCCTTTCTTTGACATAGTTTGTTGCATCAATTCAAAGAAAAATAAACATGGGAGTCAAAAATTAACGACTAAACCCTTGCTAATCTATATTTTTCATCTACTTGCTAATTGTTTAAGAATATGCTCTATGAATCTTCATATAATTCCTTTTCAAACCTTTTGATCTCCAAGCTCTTTCTCTATCGAGGCGGCAGAAAAAGAAATTAAAAGAAAATAAAAGAGTATTTCTTGTTGAATAGATTAATCTCTTTAGATTGTTGAAGGTGCATTTCAACTGTGTCATTGACGAATCAATTGTACTTCCTGTTAAATGTGTTATTCCACTTGCTATACATTCAAGTTATTCTTTAATGTTTACCTCATTAAACTAATCTCTTTGGGATGCATGTTAGTTTGTCATTATCTTCATGATTTCCATATCTTAAAAAGAAAAGTAAAGGTTTCCAATGGTAAAACACTAAAAAGGTTATGAATTGAAGATGAACCCAGCTGGTTTATAAGAAGCAGTTGAATATATTCAATGGGTCAAAAGTAGATCTTAGGTTGTACTCCGTACAATATATTATACATATTTTTAATAGAAATGTGTGTTTGTGTTTATTTGCCCCTTCATTATAGAAATAATTGACTTATAGTAGAAAGATTTTGGCTTTTCGCTTTGTTTTCTTGTGTGGCTATTACTTGAATTAGAATTATTAATGTTGGTGCAACTGTGTGTGCGATTATTTAAACGCGTTAGAAGTGTTGGGTAGAGGTAGTGGTGATAGTGAGTCGACCAAATTTGAGTAATTGGCTTAAACGTTACTTAGCTTGATGAGCCTCATGAGCTTTTCGAGTTCAAAAATGATTTCTACTAAGACTTACCTTAAGAGTCGATTATAATTCTTCTAGGCAGTAGCATTCTGTTGATAAAACCTTTGCTTATATTTGAGAACCTGATCAAAAGCACTGTAAAACTCAATAGTAACAATTCAAATTCAATTGGCTATTTCAAACTTGTTTGCAAGCCGGCTTCTTGAGTCGAGCTTAGGTATGCTTGATCAATTCAGTGATGATCTCGTGCTGAAGATGAGTAGTTCACGAGCTAGTTAGACTCACCATTACCCCTAGACTAGCATGGGTGCGTTATTAACTTATAAGCCTCTTTTTTTTTTTTTTTTTTTTTTTTTTTATGAACTATTATGCTTATTTCGATGGATCATGCCTAAATATTTATGCCAACTTCATCTGTCATCCCATAACTATGAGTGTATAGTACGTAAATTTTATACTTTGTACTTCGTATGTATAGTAGTTTCTCTTTATAAATTACAAATTCCAGAACATAATGATCCTTCGTAAAACAACTCTTGGTCATGGCTTTATTGGGTAGTTCAAAAGATTGATTGTGTAATGTGGGTTGTTGAGTTGGAGACCAGACTCAAAATAAAGACATGATTCGACGATATATGTTCTGTTCTTGAATAATTAATCCGCACATCAAATTTGAATTTAGGAAAAAAAAAATAATAAAGCAAGTTTTGCAATAAAATTAGGTATTTGTGGTTTCTTTGACAAGCTGCATACTGCGTAAATACAGCTTTTCGTGCTTGTAGACAAAGCATGCACATGCCTTAATCTGTATAAATTAATAAAATCAGTTCATTTTTTTCATTAATTTTTATCATAAAGTTAAATTTTCTATGTACATTTAGCTAAATATATAAACTTTATATTATTAATAAAGTGTATAAGAAGATTCTAGTTGCTGTCTGCTAACACGAAAGGATGGATATGTACTTTTTATTTATTCTATTGATTTAATTCTCAAAGTTTTTATTATTTTTCTCTAATTGAAGCTTACAAAAAACATCTAAAAATGGTGTTTGGTAAATGGTAAATCAATGTGACCCTTCATATACTGAACAGATAATATGAATCTTATTGTTAATGAATGTAAGGATTTAGGAGCGAGCAAGCTTACGTGGGCCACTTTCGGCTAATATGTGATCAAAACATCTCCACTTACTCTTCACTTTTATGTACAACAAGCTTTGTTACTAGCTGTGTTACGTGCACTAATTTTGATTCAGAAGTTTATTTACAAGTTACTAGTAAGTAGTAATAGAGTTTTTTGTCTTTTTTTTTTAGACGGTGGGTTGATTTTGGGTATAAGTGTTAACTAGACATGCTTAAGCCTTAAGTCTTCCTCAAAAACCTTTTCCAAAATTTGTGTGAACATTGACGGCCGTTTCATAATTGGGTTGTGGAAATGTATATGCTACGACAATTTTTCATCACCGCCGGCCAGTCGGCCATTATCAACCTAGAGGTCAATAAAAGCACGGGCCGGGTAGTAATGAAAATTAGTATACGACTAATAAACTTGTACTTAAAGGGTAAAAATACTTCTAATAAAAAACTATCTAACTTGACACACTTGAAATTACCCAAATCTAAACCCGAATTGGGTGACATTTAGGTTAACAGATGATTGATCCACGTAAATTATTATGATTCGAAGTATGAGATTTGGGTGGAATTCTAGTTGTGAATTAAGAAAATATTCCTGATGATGCAGAGAATCGTAGCAAGTTATCCGACATTCTATAGGCAGGCCAACCTGCCCATAAGTTTGAATGAACTAAAGAATATTATCTGACTAGATTTTGCTTAAACTTAAACTAATCTTATCAGTTATCGATCATAATCTTAATTAAGATTAAGATAAGAGCTCACGTGCAGGCCATCGCTGGTTGGTAATTAGAAAAGCTGCCTGCTTACTTTTTGTTAATTAATAATTTGATAACCAAGTACTCCTTAGACTAGCTAATAATATACATTAATTAACATGATTAATACGAAGTACGGAGTATTACGGAGTATTATCTTGGTTACTCTAGCTGGGATGAAATACATGCTGAAGACATGGACCGTCTATTGGGTTGTTAAATTGTTGTTAAACCGTACTTTGGTCAAGGATATATTGATATGAGCATTGCATTATCTTTGATTATTATTAAACTCCTTAGAAATTTGATATTAGCATATACTATTACCATATTTAGTCGCTCGATAATCAGAATCAACTTTAGCATGTTCCACGTTATTACTAAATACAACTAGTGAAATATTGCATGCCCGACAGCCTTAGCTATTTTCAAATTTGGTAATAATTTGTATATTTGTATGGTAGTGTCATATCTTATTTTTGATTATGTAATATTTATTGAAAATGCAAATAAATAAATATATGCGGTCAACTGCACACTCACTCTTAATATATTTTTGATACGACTAGTCTTGGACGATATTTTGTTTAGTTTGATGAATGATTGTTACGGAGTAGATATTATCAATGAGACTTACTATGCTTCTTACCTAATGAGCTAACGAGGAGTGATTTTATAACGTCCGTAAGTTCGTTAATCTATTTATTATTATCGAGAGGTTATTTGTTATGCGCCTTATA